CCGCCAGCTACGCAGGCTAATCTACCATTACCCGAGTATCTCGGATCACTGATCCTGATCCGGATCATCTCAAAGAAACGCACCCCTACGTTTTAATATTATGAAAACAAGTAACGAAAAAGGCATTTACTACCATAAATCATTGATTTCGTTCCTTTTCTTTGTGTCTAGGACCAAAACCCTAAAGGATTCTGGTGACGTTATCGCATATATGACGTTTTCGCGTACACGGCCAATCAGACGAACAAAATATATACAGTACAAGAGTTTGTTTGCTAAGTGTTTTCCTTCAATTCTTATTCACTTTAATAATAATATGACAGTAACTTTTTTCTAATGGTGTTGGAAATTGTATTCCATATACACTTCTATAACATATCTAGATAAGACAACATTTCTTTTCCTGGCATGATTTCGCCAAATTAAAGTCTCTGAAAAACCTTCCATAACCTCCCCTTCCCAATGAAACATTTGTTTAATTTAGTTTCTTTTTTTAATTTATTAAAAAAAGTTTTGATATTTTTGTTTCTTAATATCAATTTTTTTTATATCTTATCCTTTTCCGGCCGCCATGTTTGTGCCCCTTGAAGGGACACCAACATGGCGTCTCCATACAAAGCTCTATAAATTTGGGTACAACATTTTGCTGAATATCTCGCGGGCAAAGAACAAACTAGCCCTGAGCTATCAGCAATACTGTATTAATAAACCTTCCCATTATAAACATAATTACATTTATGATAAAAAACAACAAATTATTTTATAGGGAAAAGGCAACAAAGGCACTTTGGTTTGCCGAAACATATGGGCTTGTGCTCAAGGAACTAAAAATGGAGGACACATTAGGCAATTTCATCAACGTATTAATAAACCTTCCCGTTATAAACAGAATTACATTTATGATAAAAAACAACATATTATTTTGTAGGGAAAAGGCAACAAAGGCACTTTGGTTTGCCGAAACATATGGGCTTGTGCTCAAGGAACTAAAAATGGAGGACAGATCAGACAATGACATCAACGTGACTTTGACTGGCACCATTATCCAAGGTACATGTAACAAAATTCACTTTTCAAGTAATTTCATCAAGACGTCCTAATAAGAAAGAAGCTTGGCACCCTTAACCCTGGGGTAAACAGAAGCTAAATATGTCTGGAAGAGGACCTGGGTACAAGCAGACAATCATCATCACACCGAACATGCACATACTAATCCACCACATACCACGCATGCTCAGAAGATATGGCAGCCTAAAAATGTTCAGTGGACAAGGTATTTATTTCTTTTAGCTCTTTGATCTTTGACCTTGTTGCTTCCTAGTGCTTAACTAAGGCTCCAAAAAGGAATATGAAAATTTAAAAATTTAAAAAAGATTATTGGCCAGGGTGCAAAGAAAGTCAGTTTTACAGCTTGCCATTTGGGCCAGCTGTAGCTAACATCTAGTAGACTAAGAGGCAATTATTTTAACCAGCCCATAGTTTTAATTCCCAAAAAAGCTTCACTTGGACATCAGGCAAATTAAGAACAGATTTACTAGCCTGATAGCAAAATCAACGAGCCCCAAGGTATCGGACACGACTTTCTTTGCAATATTTTTACAGGAGTTGAGAAAAAGAATGATGATTTCAGAAGGTATTTCCACACAAAAATCACCCGCTGGGATGCTGCAAAGGATCTTTTATTGGTGGACAAACGGCAGGAAGCACTCCAGGATTACGAAAGAGTAAAGAGAGGTTATGTGAAAAGGAAGGAGTCGTTTGGATAGAGGGAGGAAAGCAGGAGGCAGCAAAGACAGTTGTCAGAGTGTCAACGTCAACGCCAGAATTTCCCAATACCACCACACCACATCAGCAGTACACTTTAGCAGAACTAAAGAAAATGAAAGCAACTGAGCTTCTTGTTCTACTGTCTCAACAAGGGAGAGTATTCAACAAAAGGACAAGGAAGCAAGTATTAATAAATGCGTATTTAGGTGGCACTTCCAACATACCTAGGAACAACTGAAAAAAACTAAAAACAAAACAAAAATTTTGATAAAATTATAATTTGGAAAAAAAAAACCCAGCAGTTTAAGGTCTTATCAGAATTGTCATTTTATTTGAATCATTCTGCTGAAGGAAATCATGAACACATTATCACAGTGAATTTGTTGTTTAAGGGGTGGGTGTCACTTGGACAACCACACGTCTCTTTATTTATTAGGTATAGATTAGAATTAGTTGAAAATCAAAGGTTGAGTAACTATTTCAAATTGGTATTAAAGGGGCGGGTGTCACTTGGACGACCCACACGTTCCCGCATGTACTAGGTATAGACTGATAGTTGAAAATCAAAGGTTAAGAAGTTATTTCAAATTGTTATTTTAAGGGGCGGTGTCACTTGGACGATAGACTGAGTTGAAAATCAAAGGGTAAGTAGCTATTTCAAATTGTTATTTTAAGGGGCGGGTGTCACTTGGACGACCCATACGTCCCTGTTCTAGTGTTAGTTGTAAGGAATAAATACGGTTGTTTATGACAGTTTATGAGAAATGAGTATTAATATAGAGAAAATATTCTTGAGTTTTGATTTAAGGAAATGAGATCTCCTTATAGTTTGACCATAGTTCATTGTTAACAAATGAACAATGGTTACGGTTAATTGCTAAATGCAACTGGTTAGGCAAGGTGCCTTAAAATGTGTAGGTGAAAAAAATAAAGGAATTGCAGAATATGTGTTTGTTCTTTTTTTTTGCCTCTTTTGAGTAGCGGAAATACTTTGTATTCAACCACATGCAATCATATTAGGATAGAATTTTGACAAACAGGATAAGCTGAATTAGATTTGTACCTTGATATTTTGTTTTACTTATTAGTTACAAGCAGAGAGACTTAAGCTCGCGAGAGAATGCTTACCTCACATCTACATTTTCGTTTGGAGACCTCCTTTAAAAGTAACTGATCACAAGCAAGCCTACATTTTTTACTTCTGGAGTTATTTCTATTCCTAAGGAATTGTTTACAAAGCATCACAATGTTTCCCCTAAGATAAGCGTAGAGAAACAGCATGTAAGAGAGTGACTGGGAAATTTCAGGGAAACTTTTATTTCTTGAAATAACTTACCGGTAAGCTTTAATACCTTTGAAAACTTCTCTATTCTAAAAGCACATCTTTCTGACGAAAGAAGCACACGCACAGAATCTTTTCGAACGACTGCTGGCGAAATAAAATTATTCTCTCGCTCGAAGAGCTCTGGGACGAGGAAGACTCCAATTTCACATCTCCGGTAAAAAGTGAGAAACTTTTCCTCTTCTCTCGACTTGACTTTGGAAGAATGGCGAATCATCAACAGATGATAAGTCAGAATATTTTCCGTGCCGCTGAATTGATATCTAGCCGGGGAGTTAAGTTCTAAGCAAGGGAAAAAATCAATTGAGAAAATTTCTTTGTTTTAGCTCTATATCGCTGATGATCAAGTACGAGCTTTAGTGGAAGAGTTGGCCGCCTACATCGAAGGCCATTCGGTGGAACTAGATGCTGTATATAAAACAAATCTGAGAACTTTTCAGAATGTAACATACTATACATGTTTCAATACAGAGCGTATCGGGCTTGGACTATTCTCAATACAATGCTTTTCTTTTTTGAATAGCCCTGGCCAAATCTTAATCATTTAACCCGATGGTAAGTGTCTTAGTGAAATTGGATATTCAAATCGTGTTATAAGTCCCGAGTTTTGCAGGCCACGCTTAGTTTTTCTTTGCGAGTAATGTTTTAACATTATGTCTTTAAAATATGTGCTCAACTTCATAGACGCCCAACACAACCGGTCACGATCGCAAACATCATTCAATAATGATGCCTAAAAGCTGGGCTGGTGTCTAGCATGCTTGGACATATTGCTTGTAAGTAGCTTCAAACAACTGAATTGTTGAGTTTAAAACTTGGCTTTTATATGTTTTGAACAATTGAAAGGGATTTGAATAATTATCTCACACAATGTTCCCTCAAGCGTTTAAAAAGACGCCGCGCTTGCTTTTTACATGTTAACCGACTCGGGATTTCAAAGGGAAATGCCATATACCAAGAGAGAATAGAACAACTATTCTCTTGTTGGAAAAATGGACTGCGTGACTGTGAAAGTGAACTTTATTCCTTTGATCTAGTTGCTTAGTGATAAGCTGTAATGACGCGATGCAAGTTTAGGATTTCAAAACCATGTGCGAATCAAGGAGATCTGGCGATTGTAATCATCCTTATACCTTATAGCGTGAACATTAAATTGTGAAGTGATTCGAGTCTGTTGGTCTGTTGTGTTAGAAGCAATCGGTAGATTCCTGACTCAAACTGGCACCTCCGACGGGAACGTGAGGGAAACGAAACAAAGCAAGGGAAACAGTCCTGAAGCTAGAACAATAACGAGACAAAAATGGAGGCGTTGACCTCGGAGCTGGACGTGCAACTTAAACTTCCTATGTTTACTCAAGGGAAAACTAAGGTAATCGTGGAGAAAGCAAACACTGAAGGAATCGAACGACATTGTGATGCTCTTCGAGCGATTGTGAAGAGGATCGAAGCGTAAAAACGCAGATCGAGGAAGCGAAATTGGAAAGTGGCGTTCAAGTTGACGAGCTAGCTAAATGGAGCGCTTGAGTTGAGGCACAACAAGCAATGGTTGACGAGGAAATCACGTATTTATCGCAAACACTCGTTCAAATCAATTATAAAGCAAGTTTGGAAGCAAAGAAATGAGAAGAAGAGCTGGCCGAGAGAGATTGAGACAAACAACTACAGTTCGAGTGCGCACAGCTAGAACAGAAGCTGGAGTTTAAGAGGATGGAAGAAGCGAGGAAAAGTAACATGGGTCAAGTTGCGGCGTAGGCCGCTCCAGTGAAAAGCGATAAATTGCTAAAGCTGCTCATCACTAAGTTTAGTGGAGAGTTAACGGACTGGCCACGTTTTTGGAATCAGTTCGAAGCTGAAATCAATCGTTTAGAAGTGGCAGCCGTAACAAAGTTCTCGTTCCTCAAGGAGCTTGTGGATCCCAAGGTTAAAACCGCCATTGATGGCTTGCCCTTCAGGACAGAAGGATACCAGCAGGCTAAAAACATCCTAAAGTCGAAATATGGTCAGATGAGCGAGATTGTAAACGCGTACGTACAGAACATAATGGCGCTTCCAATGAGTACTGGCTCACGAAAAGTTGTTGTTTAATGTGCAGTCTTTGGAGACACTCGGTAAATTGACAGAAATCAGTGGATACGTGAGAATGTCTATTGACAAGCTGCAAGAGATCAGGCGATCTGGTAAGGACGGACGACAACTGGAGAGAGTGGGGCTTTCAAAAATTCGTGGAAGCTCTAAGAAAGTGGACAGAGAGAAATCCTATCCCTGCCGAACGTGAATCGCCGGAGAAGCTGCTTGACCGGAAAAAGGCACCTTTACCGCGAGACAGATCATTTCAAGCACTGTAGAAGGTTAAACGAGTTCGAGGGTGTGTTTATTGTGAGAAACCTGACCACAAATCAGTTGATTGCAAAACAGTCGCATCAGTCGATGAGCGCAAGCGAGTGCTGAGCAACAAACACCTCTGCTTCAGTTGCACTGGGACCAGACATAAGGCTGTAGATTGCAGATGTTGTGTATTATGTCAAGTCTGTCAGAGGAAGCATCACACCTCCATCTGTGATAGGCTTGGTGAGCAACTGATGACCGTCACCTCAGCAGGAAAAACAGCGGTGATACATCCAGTGGTGGTTATGAAGGTCCAAGGTGTGAATTGTCGTGCGCTGTTGGACACAAGGGCGGGCAGTTCCTACGCTTCAGCAGCACTCCTCAAACTCCTGAAAGTTCGCCCTAATCAACGCGAGGTACGCCAAATCGAGATGTTGGGAGCGGTTACCAAGCAAGTTGAAATATTTCAAGTGCAAGTCAGTTCAACCTCTGGGGACTTCTGTTTAGACACTGAAGTAACTAAAGTGAATAAGAATCAACTACTCTCTTTGGAAAACCCTCGTTACGAGCAGTGCTTGGCCAACTATGCCCACCTAAGAGGAATTGAAATGGAAGACAAGGACTCTAAGGATATCATGCCAGTACATCTCATCCTGGGAGCCAGTGATTATGCGAAAATCAAGACCGAAACTTGCAGCCCGTGTTGGAAGTAGTAATACTGGCTACCTTGTCACACAGCCAATCAGAATCGCGTATTTCAAACACGTGATCGCTCTCGACCAATCAGAAGGCTGGATTTAATTACCCCAGAAGTTTCGTCATACCAAGGGGTAGGTCATGTAAGACATCACGAAAAGTCCCCCAACATTCCCCCTTCATGTAATAGTACACCAAATGTCACTTTTCAACTCATTTTATTCTGACGTCATTCCTAATTTTACAAGCGGGACGTGTGTGACCTCCTAGTGACGTCACGCCCTTTATTTCGTTTTAAAAAGATAAAAAATGCATAAAAAATGGCCGGGAGAGCAGTGGCCCTGTGGCGATTGCCGGTACTGGCTAGAAAATTCTCGCATCGGCCGATGAGTCCAGCCAGCCAGGTAGGACTCGAGGCTTACAGGTTCGAATCCTGTCGAGAACAATTTTTACAAGTGTAACAACATATCTACATTATCGTCATCGACCTCCGACCAGGCACGGTAGCCAAAAGGATAACTAATTTTAGCTTGTCAAAGACCAGTCCATATTGCTTCACTTGGTGGACTAGCTTGATGGTCTTGTTCGTCGTGTTGCGCTGAAAATGATTGGGGTTGTTCACCCGAATCACTCTTCGCTCTTCCTGTGGGTCGTCTATCTCTGACAGTATGTTTCTTTTCATGGTCTCGAAATTGAGGACCTCTTTACCTCTGACATTCAGGGTGAAACCACGCACTTTACATTCAGTTTTTTCTCCCCTGGTTTTGTAACCATAGTTCTTTGCCCCGCCCGAGATGAATTCGGTGATGACGTCACCCTCTAACTCGTCTGTCATCTCGCCCAAAAAATCACCGATAGGGATGGAGGGTTGTCCGGGTTTCCAGCGGTAAATGACAGAGTCGGTGTCATAGTACAATACTTGCTGCTGTAACACGTCGAGGGCCTCGTACAAACGTAGTCTGGCCCACGCGGTCGTAAATGCTGCCACGAAAATATTTGTTTTGTTACTGGGAACCACATTGTCATCAAGGTCCGTACACACGGCTTCTAACACGTCCTCGTTACAAATCCGCAGAGTAGACACATTTCTGTGGGAATGGAACAAAAGGGTAAACAGCTGAAAAGGAGAAGTGATGGTCTCGGTCCTGGGCTTGTTTTGCCTTTCTCCGAATTTTCCCCAGAAGGAGTTCAGCATCAATTTGGCCGTCTCTTTTCAGCCGGGATTTTTTTGAATGCTGGCATAGTCCAAGTCTATGCCCTCTCTTTCTCTGTACTGCGTCAAGTATTGCTGCTTTTTTTCTTCCGTGTCACACCATCGTGGCCAACCGGCGGCTTCCTGCTTTAGCTTTAGCCACGTGTTGACGTAGTCTCGAAATAGACCATCGCGTTGCTGTGAAAAATGGCCACACCTCGTGAATTTTGATTACCCTGTACCCCTTCTCCACTGCCTTTTCGATCTCCGGGGTACACCATGTTCCTCGCAACGGCGGTTCCTCGGGAGTGTGATTGCAGACGTCGCTCTTCTCTAGCATGGGGTTGTCCTGTTCTTGCTTGACATTGGCCGCACATAGGGGAAAGGTCAACTTGTTCCCACTGCGGACGGGTAGGACAGGATGGAATAGCTCTGCAGGTGCTAAAATATCGACGCTGGCAATGCCAAAATAGCTGGCAATGTCTTGTATTCGCGGTTGGGTAATGATGGTGGGGTGACCGATAGGGTAGCGTGCGTTCTTGTTCACCCACGGTTACAGGGAGGTCACGTCGACATATCGAATTTCCTCCCCTTCAGAGGCCACCGCGCGTAGGGCCTCGGCACCGGTTCTCCCTCCGAAAAAGGCATTTCTCAGTTGTAGTGGTTCCACTAGCTGCAAGGTGGTCACAAAATCGTTAACATTAGGGTCGTGTTGGCACAACTTGTCCCAATCGTGTTCCCACATGACTTCGAGGTTGTAACCATGGTTGCAGAGAGCGTTTTCTTTGACCTGAGTAGCCCTCCAGAGTTCTTCCATGGTACGATCCGGGTTGACGGCGTGTTTGGTGTGACGGTTTCTGGGATGGCATTCGGGACAACCGTGAAAGAAACATCCGTGAAACTCGTAAACCGTGTTGGTCTGGGGATCGTACCCATCCACAAAGTAAGAATCTGTGGCAGTGGTTACACTCTGCTCACCCCCGTTTCGCACATGCCTTATTCGATCCGGGCAGACACCCTGCTTGGGGATGCAATGCTCTTTGTAGTATAACCACTGCAATGCTTTCATGGAATGGTTGACATTGGCTCCTCGCCATCCTTTGAGTGGTTCCATGGCAATAGTAGCTTCTTGGAGGCAATGCTTGCGCCAGTACAAATTACAGGCACTGGCGATGGTCATGCATTTTTCAAAGGGATTGAAGTCGGCGTGACTCACGAATTCTTTGGTGAAGGCTTCACAACCAGCTTGTAGGAGAGCCACGTCCGACTTGCAATACTCCTCCATCTCCCGGGCAAAGTCATATTGCAATCCGCCTCGTACTTGGTCAGCGTGCCACTCTTCCAATTCTTTCTTTTTCTTTTCAGACATTCCATCGGGGTCAAAAAACTCAATGCCAGGGATAGAGCCCACGTAATTTTGGTGATGTGGCAAATTGAATTTGTGAGGAAAGAAGCCTTTCTTTAGCGGAGCTCTGGCGCGCGAAGCGCGCCTGCGGAGCACCATGGGTAAGTAAATCTACCCATCCCAGAAAATTTGGTAATCACCTGACCGTACACCGCCCGCCCGCCCGCCCGCTGCCCGTCCGTCCGCACCACAGGCATACCAATGTTTACTCTTACACTTTCTAGCTACTTTGGGAGCCCAGGAGAAAGCTGATTGCACATCAATCTCGTCATCAATTGACAGCTGTCAAAACAGGGTATCTGCTGACCAGTATCACTTGACCGTATCGCGGGCTCAGGTGTCGACCCATCAAGGTCGAGTATTTTTTGGAAGTTATCCGCTGACAATTTACTCGTTTTCAAATGATCGCAGGCTCACGCTTACTTTTTTTTATTTTTAATTCATATCAAATATGTTGTGTTTATGTCAGTATCGCCCAGCACTATAACGATTTTGATTTCAAACTGGCCGCAGACACAAAAATTCAGCCAGTTTTTTTAAAATACAGGCGGGGAAGACCTTTTCTAACCATGGTCATGTGTTGGTCACGCTCCACGTCCAATTTTTATGCTCTGATTGGTTAAAATTTGACAGGTGAGTTCATGCGTAAAATTTATGCAGCATCTTGAAAGTTGTTTACTTTGACAGCTGAAGCTGACAGAGTTTTGAGTCATCTTGTGATGTTTTTAACTGTCTTTTTCCACTGGATGTAAAAAATGAAATACAGCTGCTATCAAGAGTGTTCTCTTATTCATGGCTGGTTTGCTTATTGGGTTTTTGGTTGAGAAATGCGTCGCTTGTCAAAGCCGATAATCCGATTTCGGTTGGCATCGTTTTTGTTTTTCACCTTGCTGGATGCGTACGAGAATTATAAAGGCTCAAGCGATCCTTGCCTTTCTTGCTAGCTTTCAGGAGCTGCATCTCAAAATATGGTAAGCCTGAGTAATTATTGTATTTATATCTAATTTCATGAAGTCCAGTGGCACAGTTTATGAAGCTAGTTTATGCACGTTTGTATTAAGATTTGACTGAGACACTGATCTGACCTAGTATGAGGTTTGATATAAGCTTAAGCTTACAGAACTTTAAAAAGCCTTTAGTCGATATTAATTCACCGTAAATAGAACGAAAAAATTTCCGAAGAATATTTAGTTATAATTTTGGCTGTACTTGGCTGTAGAAAGAAAGCTTTGAGCGATTTTCTTGTCGTGAGTTCATCTTTGAAAAAAGCAAACACCGGGAAACCGGCAGCTTAAAACATAACCTTAATCTTTAAGCTTACTAGTAAAGACTTGAGGATTCTTAGAGACACCTAAATACTCATTTGTTTTCGTGAATGAAAATTGTTGTCTCTGTTAATGTTCTACCGAATTATATTTCTTTATTGATTGTTGGTAGTCTCAAAAAGTGTAATTTTCATCGCTTTGCCGTTTGTTTTCAGGTGTTCATAAACATCGCTTGCAGGAGTACCCAAAATGCCAAGCGTATCAAATGCTTTTTAAGATTACACATGGTTATAAAACCGTTCATAAAAAATAGACTCATTAAATTCTTTATCACGTTGAAGCGTAACTCTTTTAAAATTTCTTGGCAGATTTGGTGCTTGTCAAAAGTTAGAACCGGGTGGCCGTATAGGTTATTTTGGACATGAAAGTTTTCGCTAATTAAAAGTCCACGCATGCTTCGATGGTCCTGAGTATTGAATGAATGCAATTTTTCTTGGAAATACTGCATTTTGTACGAGGTCTGCATGATAAAAACAGCGCCTCATAGTACTCTTTCTCCTCAGATGTGATGTATAAAAAAAATAAAAGAATGGTTTGCACGCACCCAGATTTATTGGCAAGAATTTGTACACTTGTCGAACGCAAACAATTCGGCCTGATTAGTTTTCCAAGAATTTGTTTTCCACACCTTATCTACTGTGTCAAGAGCCATTATTGCTCTTAAATGTGACCGAAGACTTTTTTTTTGGTGTACAAATAAGGCTATATTAACTCGCTACAAGATTTTTTTCACTCCAAAATCACTAAGCTTTTCCCTCAAAAGTCACATGTATGTGCCCTTAAGTTAACTGATTTGTGGAATACAAAATTATTGTTTGATTTAAGTTATAAATTATTAATGGAGCTTCGCTTTTAGCTGTGGCTAAATCTATATATTAGTTCCGTGAGATTGAAAGCAGACGGAAATGAAGCCAATGGCATGGGTAGGAAACACAGTGAGTCTTTAAACGTGATAGATGCACTTTAAAAGGAAATGACCTTAGAACCCACGGTGAGCTGATTTTCGATCCCGCGTTGCTGTTTGTACAGTTCATCTATAATAAACATCCCGTCAAAACCTTTGAGATTGTTTAAGATGACAATGTCTGTTCTCTCTCGGTCATTGTCGGGAATCTCGGTTGCATCGTCGAGAGCATGTAAGAAGGTGCAGACACAGTCCTTTCCCATGTGGGTAATGATCGTCTCGCTTTCACTGGTCCGGTAACACAGCAAGTTGGCTTCAAATTGTCTGTCCGGCAGCTGCATAGCCTCAATGTTGGCATAGACAAAGAGGGGTGGTGGGAGGGGTTTTATCTTACCATTATCATCATCATCAACATCTTCTTCTGGGTGGTCCACGGCCGGCTCAATAAAACATTTGTGTGTGGATCTCGACCATTTCTTTACAGCTTGGGCAGGCGGAAAACCCGCATCGATGTTGCTTGCCCTTGATGACATTGTATTCTGCATTACACTTGGGACAAGTTCTGTGTTTGGCGCATTGATTTTTTTCACGATGATAGTCAAAACCGTCGTTGCCGTAAAATCGACCCTGGCAATTTGGACAGACCAGAGTGGGACTGACATCGCAATTGTAGTTGGAACAGGTTTTTCGATTGCAGGCTTGGCAAGTTCTTCCTTCGCAAGGGTGATTCTTGGCATCGTCCACATTAAATCCTTTTTCATAGAGAGAGCACCAATACAAACGGTTTACAAAGGCTAGAAACGAGGTGCAACCATCGTAGTGGGTGTCAGGCGGTCCCTTGAAAATCAGAAAAAATGGTTTGGTGCAGCACATCACCAACAATTGATAAGTCGGTTTTAGATACGCCTGAAACTTTTCCAGCTCCTCTAATCCACACGGACCGGGGTCCACGCCTGCCAAGTGGTGCAGCTCACGGGCTTGACGTTCTTGAAAGTGGTGCAGCTCGCGGGCTTGACGTTCTTGAATGGCTCTACCCTGGATTATGTCTTGGTAATCATGATACGCATCATTGGTGTCGTCTTTGTGGGCATGGGCTCGCATGGTGACGATGGCATGGGCACAGCAGAGAATGTCATTCATTCAACGTCATTCATGGGAATGATGCAACGTTTCTTTTTGTTTTCGTTATCCAGGCATCGGCTTCCGGTATTTCTCTTTTTGCCTTGACCACTGCCAGGTTGTGGGCGCCTTTCAAAAACCACCTCCACTTGAAAGCCTTGTTCAGGGTCGAATGTTTTTTGCTATTAAGTTTGCCAGCTAACTCTTGCAACAATCCATTTAAACGCACGCCCGCGTTGCGCCAAAGTCGACGCCATTGTTGACACCGATTCGCCGGCGTCCTAGAAAAAGCAGGACATGAGACTAATTTTCAAAGTTTTCCCCACATACTTCAGTGGATTTTTCCAGATAATTCAAGTATCACATTAGGGACATGTTCTTTACATATGTTTTCGATTTGTTTGTCCGTTTTCATTGGATTAACGACCCGAAGAAACAACACCATAGCTAGCTGTAGACAAACAAATTAACACAGTGAAACCATATTGGCAAGATGGTACCAAAGCTACAACTAGACCATTGCAAGTGGTTATCTCATCACAGTAACTACAGCTGTTCAGCAAGTTTATAAATGCCCTCCCTGTATATACGCACCTTGCATTCGTCCTTTGTTGTCTCGTCTAAATCCGTAAGCTTCCGTACTTAACCCTGAGTTTGTTGGCGAAACGCATAAAAGTACAAATACAGTGAAACGCTCGGCCCTTTATATAAAATCTGTTTCCATAAGCGTCTGCAATACAAGCTCTCGTTTCTCTTATGAATTTAGACATTTTGGTTGAACAAACAAGCTTACTTGTGAAAAGAAGAAAACAAACTTCAGAAACGGCGGGAAAATTTGCCTGCCGTGCGCACCAACGTCGTCGTCTTTACTACGAATAGTAAATTCAAATTTCTACAGGACGGCAACTCTATGACGTGACCCAGCGGCGGCAGCGTGCGAAAGTCGTCTATTCGTAAGCTCCCTACTGTTTAAAGAAAACGCAAACAAGGGTTGGCGCGAGCCTCCCACTTGTTGTGTGCCTTCGAAGTCGTCCATGACTTGGTTAAAGAGATCATCATCATCAGAGTCCCAAGTGTCTTCCCAGGTATGTTTCATCTTGGCAAGCAAAGCTCGAATGATGGTCGATTTCACCACCTTCAAGTCCATGTCGGAACTGATCACGCTGCTGCTTTGACTATGGTCTGGCACCATCATTTTCCACAAGCTGACGTACCATCCTTCTCCTTTCAGGGTCATTCTTTCGGGTAATCGCACCTTGAAACTAGCGTTGGTGTTGTCGGGAAATTCGCCTGTGGTGTCGCTCACAAAGGTCAAACGAATAGGCTCAGACATGATGTTATAATGACTCGATGGGGTTACAACCAAGTATTTATCTTCTTTCTGCTGGATGGAAATTTACTGACAGTAGACCGAAAGGTAGATTGCTTGGGATGAAACGACACTCTCTTCGCAATGTCTGGAAAACTCCTGGCTAGTTCCATGAGGGTCATTTCTGTTTTGGTTTTGGCTTTGCTTTTCCTCACGCATGGCTGACGTCCGGCTTGTCTCCTTTTCTTTTTGGCTTTTCTTTGGCGGTCCTCTGCACATGAAATGCTTTGGCATAAGCCCATTGCTCGCGGGTTGGACTTGCCCATCGTCTTGGGGTGGAACGTCTTTTTTTACGCGGTTTTGTTTTTCTTCTTGCCATTGTCTGCTGGGTTCCAACTATCGTACTTGCTGGGCCAACCTTTCCAATGGACTAACACTTGTCCTTTTTTACGTTTAAGAATCTTTTTTACGCGGAATAGACTGTCGTCATGCGCTTGCACCTTTTGAAGATCTTGCTTGTAAAATGTCCCTTTTATAGGCTTGCCATCCCATTCACTGACTTTGTAAGAGGGAATGGGAAGTCGTCGCACCTTGGTGACCAAAAACACTTCTTTGGTCCAACCGGGTAAGTACTCTTTTTTGAAGGGGCGATGCTTTTTGTTGAGTCGAACTTTATCCCCCTTGCGTAACTTGGGAGGTTTGACATGTTGTTGGGTGGTTTTGTAAAGACGTTTCCACACCTTTAGTTTGTTGCTTGGTTTCGCCTCCAAGTTTTTTCATGCCAATGCTGCGATGATGGGTGGTGTTGTAGGTATTGATCAACTGTGGTAAGGCACCGAGGTACTTGAGGGTGTTCTGGGCCGAGAAATAGCGATACATTCTCTGTTTTAGGGTTCGATGCCACTGCTCTACCACGCTGGCTTTGCTATCACCCTCTGTAGAAAAGTGATCCCAACCCTCCTTTTTGAACCAGGCTTGGACAGCCGCGTTGTCAAATTCAGAGCCTTTGTCTGTTTGCACCCTGAAGGGTCGACGTGGGTGAAGTCGTTTTTTGATGCGTTCCAGAGCGCTCACCATCTCTTTGGCCCCTTTGTTCTTGATGGGTTCTGCCCAGGCTGCTTTGCTAAAGACATCGATCACCGTCAACAGATACTTCATACCCTTGTTCCATTTGCTCAACTTTTGCATGTCGACCAAATCTAATTGCCATTGCTCATCTCGCCCATACACCATCGTTGGAAGGGTAGGAAATCGTTTTCGTCTGGGTTTGTGCAGGGTGTAACTGAGCACGGACTGCAGTTCCTTTTCGGCTTGTTTGCGGGATAGACCGTGAGCCTTGGCAAAAGGTTTAACCCCACCCAACGCCCCCTCAAGAGCAGGATCCTCGTACAATTCTTGAACGTTAATGACGGGAGTATGGTTGAATGGTTTTCTTTTCAATGTCTTTTATACTTTGCAAGGCTTTGAGACCTTGTCGTCGGTCAAATTTGTTTTGTAACCACCAAACAAAGACACAATAACGTCCTCAAATCCACCCCCTTTCATGACATGGATATACACCACAATGGGATTGGCTTTGGTCAAGGGAAGGGGTTGGTGAGATAACACCTGACGTAAAGCCTTCAGACAAAACCACTCCACATACAACCACATGATGATCAAACTGTTGTTTAATGAGAAAAACGATTCTTTTTATTTACAAAGTCAAAAAATTTTTACCATAACAAATTTGAAAGTGCAAAAAAATTTACCATAATTTTTAAACGGTAAAAATAGTCACCATCAAATTACAAAGGGTGCAAAAAAAGTCACTCAAAAGATACCAGTTCCATATTTTTTAAATGTTTCGTACAAATAGGGTGCCATGCCACACTCCCTTCTTCGCGCATTATTGGCATCACATTCTTGCAAAAATCTCTTTTCTCTCTCTTGTTCTTGCTTGTCTGTTTCTTTCTTAAACTTCTGTATCCAGGGATCTTCTCTTATCTTTTTCAGGCTCTTCCTGGCTGTTTTTCCAGAGGGGGCTCTGGAAACGACCTTTTGCTTCCAAACCAACCTACATCATCATCATCATCATCATCTGTTACGGGTACCATGTGATTACTGGGTTCTTTTTTGTAACTTCCAAACAAATGTGGTTTTCCATGTACACTCCAAGGCACCATATGATCGTTGCTGTTGTAACTCTTTCTAAAGTAATCTTCCTTCACAGGGGACCGTCTGGTGATGGGTTCCTCCAACAGAGTTTTCCTCTCTGGGGAAAACTCTTAGGGCTTGGGACTGTAGTTTGGAGAGGGTCTGTAAAACTCATTTCTCTGGGGAGGACGATATTGGAAAATAATTATAATTATTGACTGAGTGACTGGGGGTTGTCCTCTTGTAATTCCTACTTCGTATGCTCCTCATTTGTTGCTTGTAAGTAAGGGGTTCACCAGAAAAAAAGTCATCCATGGTGGGCTGGTGGGCTTGTCTTTTAGGGCTCCAGGGACTCCAGTGGGTAAACTGAAAGTAGCCGCACCTCTGCTCCTTGTTTTTTCTGCCACAGCAGACACCAATCATTGCATAAGACTCCTAAGAGAAACTTTGCTGACATCATCATTCAAGGAAATATCAAACATCAGAAACTGCAAAATTTTGTGGTGGTAAAAACATTAATGAGCCTTACATTGCTTGTAAATTTTCGACTTTTAAAAGAAGAATTTCTCCCGCGATACTATTTGGAATATCAGGATCAAATCTCTGAGATCACCAACAATGTTAAGCTCCTTTATTGTACAGTGATTTTATTTTAATATCCTTAAGCCAAATTCACAAAGCTTCTAAGCTAATGGATATCCTAAGTTTTGTCAAATGATAATAGCACTTTGTTATCAGACAATATTTAGGAGGTATCTTAGATTAGGAAGGTTTGTAAATCTGGCCTCTGATCAATGAGCATATTAGTGAAGCAAAATATGTAAACAAAATTCACCCAAAAAAGGGGTTTCAGAAGATGCCATTTTATTGCATTAATGATCTACTTTAACCGGCTGAAATAAAACTAAATTTTCCTGAAGTGTACTACTGCCAAGAAACAGCTAGTTGCTGCTCAATGTAAAATACCATAAGTTCAAACCATTTACAATGTAAAATTTTAACATACATGTCAATACAGAGTCACTGAGAAAAAGACCAAACAGCCCAGAAGGGCAAAACTGGTTTTCCAGACATCTCACAAAATTACTTTATAACCCTGTCAATACGATCACTTAGTATGTTGCCACAAGGTTATTCTACTACACGTGGCTTTTCTTGAATTGATAACAAGTCAGCACCCTCTTCTTGTAAGAAACTCGTAAAAATTTTCAAAATAGAAATTGGTTAATTTGGATAGCACATCATTCCACAAAGTTTCATCAAACAGAATTCTTTGTTGAAAGAAATCTACACCAGTCCAAACACAAAAGTCGCACCATTTCATCCCAGTCACCCCCATGAGGCCTTGGACTTGATAATAGTAGTTGTGATTTTCTTTTAATTTAATGCCATGGTCTGTTTGTTTTAAGTAAAATTGCTTATTTTCTTTAATAACGTCAACAATTTTCTTACCCGCACCACAAAATGGACATTTTGCTTCAAACAGCCCAAAGGGATTTTCTTCCATAGAAGGGTCATAGACAACACCATCTGGGGAGGCCCCCAACCAACAGAATGCTGGGTTAACCACCAGTCCACTCTTGTAGAGTTTTGTATTATTTCCAGAGTCAAGATATGCTTTTGCAGCCCTAATCTCGTTAGTCAAACCATATTTCATAGCTGGTGTTTGGATTGTTTTTCCTTCAAAAAGTTCCTTCAGAAACTTTTCTGTGACAGCCGCCTTTCTTTTGAAAACCTGACCAAACTGAGATGCCGTGATGCGCTTGGCTCTCTCTAATTTCCACTTTGCGCTTCCAGACTGCTCTCTCGTGCCAGATTCAAGTTTTGATGCATCTTCTAGTGACAAGGTAATGAAAGTAAGATCTATATTTTGAAATCCATGTACATATTCACTCCAGCCATCACTGAGCACAGGGAGTTGAATTGGTAACTCACTGTAGATGTTTGTTTGATCAGCTCCAATACTATCAATTGAAGGTAAGTGATAACTAAGAGGACTACCCTTTTGGTGTTCACCGAAATTTGTTTTAACAGAGGTTGAGCTGTCGTTTTTTACATGGATAACTGGTGCAGCAGGGCATGCCTTTTTAAATTTATCTTGAAACTCTTTAAACATTTCTTTCCTACACTCTGGCTCCTTTCTCTTTGGAGAAGTTGGATCGTAAAGGCAGAGCGATGCATCTCTTCTTGTCTCCTTTCCCACCGATGGTTTCGAAAAATTTAGCTGCATCCAGGGTTGCGGGTTTATTTTAGCACCTCTTGGAACATGCCATTGCTGGGGCTTTGAAGTACAAGCAGAAGCAACATCACTCTCTTTCAAAGAACTTACCACTGCGTAGGCTAAAGCCGAGAGATGATGACAATGTCCTTGTCCGGCTTTGCAAGAACATCTTCTAAAGACAATGCTCGATCCTGAATCGCTAAATTCCAAGATAATTTTCTTATTTCGTGTGGCTTCTCCGACTTAGACATCGATCGAAAACATTTTCCTTTCAATACACAACATTCAGCTTCTTGAAATGTGACGAAAAGATCGTGAACATAATCTTCTACAAAAAATGCCTGAGCCCTCTGATCTGATTTTTTCTCCTTGATAAACTCCTCCAGGCACTTTTTGGTTTATGTTTTGCAAACCTCTTCACTATTGGCTGACATTCCTAGCAGCCGATCAAGAACAAAGGAAACAATGATTTTTTTGTGCTATCCAATATGGCGGACGTATACCTCCAGTGACCAGTCCCCGCGCGGCATGCAAAAGGTCTATTGCGGCTGTCATTTTAATTTAAGCTTTTACTGTAGTATGGCCGAGTGTAATACGTTGGTTCAATAAAAACACACAGTAAATGATTTTAAAGTTGTTTTATTCACTGTTTTCTAGTTCTCCCTTGATCCACAAATACCTTACTTCCTTTGGGTACAAGTACTGAAGGGCTTCTCTTCCTGCCACGTGTGGCCAGCGAGCCATAATGATCTTCACATGGTCTGCATTTAAGTCGCTTTCTTGCCTGATTACTTTTTCTGCGATTATTTTGGCGTGATACCTGGCTCTCGTCTTTGCAATGAATGTCTCTCTTTTTTCCTGCCTCCATTTTTTGGTCTTTTCGTTTATCTTTGCTCTGTTTTTTCTCGGTACCTCCGCCAGCCCTCTTGACGTTTCTCTTTGTTTTCCAGACACCATTTCTTGTTCAGCATGGTCTTCCTTTCTTTATTTTCCGGTTTGGCATACCATTTTCTTTGGCTTTCCTTTCTTTTTATTTCTGCTCTTGGCTCAGGTTCTTCCACAATTTACGGCTCGGTACAGGCATGATGAACTAATGTTGTTGTGCAATAATTTTTTTGGGTCATGCGTTTTGACTAGAAATAATGGTGCAATACAAAACTGGTTTTTCCAGACTTGTTCCATTCTGATGGTGCAATACTTGACCCTACAAAAAAAAAGCAGTGATAGGCTCATTTTTATCATTCGAAGCCATGGATCTTCAAGTAACTTCACTTGCCATTCTATCTCCTGAAAATGCCCTCTAAACGATCAACTACAATGGCTGTACGATTTTCCCTTTGCTGCCCTAATCAGACGGCCTATTTTTCAGACCGCGTTGAATAACATCCTCAAGTCGCTGACCCAAAATCAGCTTTTAGAGTACATGGACGACCGCCCCTACAATCCAGCTATGACGGACAGAATTGTAAAAGAGATGTTTCGGCAATTTTCTTTGGACACCTTGGAACTAATCTCCAGGAGTTTCCATGTAGATCACCCGTTTGCCAAAGCCATGGATTTTGTGATACATAAGGAACAAATGTCAGGTAC